CATGCGAATAATTTTGCATGTACCTAGGGACACATCAATTAGACACATGCTTCACTCATTAAATTGGCTGTCAGTGGAACAGTATTTGGAATACCAAACTATGATTCTCATACATAAAATGAAAAATTCTTTAGCTCCATCGTATTTGTCCTCCAAACTTTTATACAATAACAACGTCCACAATTATAATACACGGTCATGTGACCAAAAAAAATAAAAAGGCTACAGAAAGGGCACTATTTCATAATGGTTTAATATTATATAATAAATTGCCTGATTCAATAAAAAGATGCGGTACTGTAATTGCCTTTAAAAATAACCTTAGGAAAAGACTATTTGACGAGTCTCACTAGGTAGACAATAATTATCATGTAATGATCGAATTTATGTATGTCAGTTGTTTTTTTTATATTTATTTTTGTTTGTTTTTTATACAAGATGTGTTAATTTTAATTTTACAATTTACAATTATTGTGTAGTACCTAAGTAATAAGAATTGCAATTTTTATAGTGTATGTATATTGTGCATGTCTGTAAATTTTGTGAATTAGCCGTTTTTGGCTAAATAAAGATCTATTATTATTATTATAGTTACTTGTAGATGAAAATCAAATTTTGCAGAAAGGACCCCGCACATTTCTTATGGAAAAGTGATCTATGTGGAATTTTGCTGAATTTTTGATATTGTGTAGAGGGAGTCGTCCTTAACAAAAGTGATCATTTGCGCTAATGTTCAATACCCAACAGTTTTCAAGATATCAATTAAAAACTTTTTTAATTTGATACTCTTCAGTATGACGTCACCAGTATGCTCACAGCACAGAAAATTAAAACTATCCTTTTCACTTTTAACTTTGACTACCTATACTTATACTCTTGTCCTTTTAACATTTAGGAAATAAAAAAAACAACAACAGGTACAAATGAAATCGCTACATAACAGACATCATGACATGAAGTTGACGATTGCGGCAGGAGCTAGGTGTTGTTTGCATACCTACCTATTTGTCACTAATCGCTATCGCTATCTTTTTTTTTTTTCTTAATGTTAAAAGGAGAAGAGTAAAGTCAAAGTCAAAAGTGGAAAGGATAGTAATAATTTGCGTTGCTGTGAGTAACGTCAAACTGTGCTGAAGAGTATCATTAAAAAAGTTTTTAATTGATATCTTGAAAAGTGTTGGGTATTGAACATTAGCGCAATGATCACTTTTGTTAAGGACGACTCCCTATACACTATATCAGAAATTCAGCAAAATTCCACATAGATCACTTTTCCATAAGAAATGTGCGGGGTCCTTTACATACATTAAATTTTTAATGCATCAAAGGCTTCTGCTTGATTATAATCTATTTATATCTCAGAAACAAAACAACCAATACATGAAAGTAGAGGATTGTCTGAGGCTTCCATAATTTCAATTTCATGATACGTCTCCAACTACTTTTTTCTAAAAATATTAAAATGTTCGGAATATGAGTAAATGCTAGTCTGAAAATAATAGGTGAACATTTTGCGGAACAATAACAAAATAAACTAGTAACCCGATAATCGGAATAGAAACAAAAACACTATGGCTCCGATTATCGGACGAGCATCCAATCCCAAAACTATAACAATAACCCGCAAAAACCCAATAGAAATTTTCAAAAACCTGGGTTTTTGCCAACCCTGCCCTGAATGTTTTTTTGAATTTAGATAATTGAGAATGAATTCAATAGACCTCAAACGAGTCTCCATTCACTGAACTATGTACAAGCCCTAACCCATCTAATAACTTGAAAATGACTAACAAGAATAAGGACTCGAGGAGTGTACCTATGGGTACAAGGAATTAAGAACAATTGAAATAGAAATTATCTCTGAAATTGAAAAACTAACCTAAGTCAAGAAAGTGTTAAAAACTTCATAACATGAAACGTGGTATAAGTAGGTGGTAGATTGTCCATATTCCCTCGAGAACCTTTGGGTTATGAATATAAAAATCCCTTCAAAACAAAAAACGACTTACGTACCTCCAATCGCAAATGATGAAATAAACAAATTTAGATTTGTTTGTTTGAACTTTGTACGTTTATAAATAAGCAAATTGAGGACGGCTTGCCGCTTGATTGGGGACACGGGACACGGGTGATTGTAATGTGACGTGACGTGAGACGTTACCATTGACAATTGACACATTTTGAACAATCGCTGGTGGATGGCGTGTTCGATAACTCTAATAGCGATTTCCATTTGTAGTAAGTGCAAAAAAATTATTCCTTATGCTTATATTTTACATGCTTTTACAAAAAGCGGATATACTCAAGGTGAGTTCGGAATGGTAGAAAGTGTCGACACTTTTTACACTATTGACACTATAGCGTTTTTTAATTGGTTGGACTGTTTGGTGTACACTTTTTTTGCTTTTGGAAATAATTTGGTGTCCGAATGGTGTGAAGATGGTCGGACACCGTTTACTCGGTGCAAAATGATGGTGTATTCGGTATTACACCGCCGATTACACCTTCATAGGTGATATAACACTGCACTAAACGAACACCACACTAGCACTGCACTAAAATCCCATTCCGAACTCAACTTCAGTGCGCACTGAATGGCAGGCCATACACCAGCAGATGACTCGAGACTCGACCACTCGGGGTGCGATTTTCGAAACTATTCGAGTAGGTACAATTCGTACACGAAATTTGATAGACAGCAATGTAAATTGAATGGAGAGAGGAGAGCATTCGAAATCGTATGAAATTTTGTATACAAAAACATTCGAAAATAAGACCCCTGTGATCCGTAGGTATTTCATCGGCCAAGGCTTGATACGAACCAAATCCTTCGCCTGCCATGAACTAGCAGATAAATCGGACCGATTTAACGTACGTATTTCATCTGCGAGTAAGGCCCGTGACCAACCAAAAATAGTTGTTGTTTTGTATATGTCGATTGGCTCGCATATTTTGCCTTTCAACTAAATTTGTCTGATGAAATAAGGCTCGTGATTGTTTGAAAATTCTAACATTTTTGATGCAACTCGCGGTTCATTTTTAAAGATGGATTCACCTAAGATACGCACTATAATTTGTGCTATAGCTGCTACAGCATATGTTTTTATGGTTCGTCAACAGAAAAAGGAAAGACGAAAAGAACTTCGAGAGAGATCCAAATGATTTCCGTAATTATTTGAGGATGGATGATACTGCTTTTAGGCATTTGTTAAGTATGCTAGAAATGCACCTACAAAAAAAAAAGATACGATAAACTCGGCTCGTCGCACTAATGAATATATTTTATCGGCGATTTGGCTCGTGCCATATCAAATTGGTCGAGTCATCCGCTGGTGTTTGGGAAGGATGATACACACTACTACTACAGGATAGCCTATCCTCATAAGGCCTGTGTAGAACAAATTGTTTGTTGTCCGTCCTGGCACAAACCCTTGCGTAGACACAATTATGCAGCCACCGTTCCAGTGTGTTTGTTTAATTCATTGCCAAAAACGAGGCCGATAAGCAATCCTGTATGTGTATATCATCCTTGGGTGTTTGGCAGGCTATTGACAAATGGAAATGGTATTCGCCACAAGCGCGGTCAAGATTGGTAAGTAATCGCAAAGTAGTCCGGTGTTCGGAATGGTGGTTGCCAAATAATGGTGCGTACTCCGAACACTCTAATCCTCAAGCTTCATTCTCAGTTGCGCGAAATTCGCTCTTTTTTTGACATTGCTTCGACAATGACGTTTTATGCGTGTATCAAACGTCCAGCGCATCTGTTCCTTTCAAATCGGGGTCGACTAACACCGAAGCGAGTAGCTTTAGTGTTTCAAACTCTTGAAAGGAATACAACTATTTCGGACTTTCGGAGCATGAAACACCGAAATAACGGTAGGTACACGAGGGGGCAGGGGATAACAGAAATGAGTAGTTCAAGTGTACGACACTCTAAGCACTGGAACGGAACGCGCAAAGTAATCGCGGAGCACTCCTGAGCTGCTCAGGTCAGGAGTGGAGTAACTCAAGTGGGTCACTGGAAAGCACCTCAATTTATCCGTCAATCCGATGATCTGGAAGTATTCCTATTGCTACAATATTTTGGCGCCAAAATATTAGACCAATAGGAATACTTCCGGATCATCGGATTGACGGATAAACGGATGCATGAAAAGTAAGCTTAAGGGCGGGTATTATGAAACTACAATCTACATTGACAGTTAACTAAAAGTTAATTTCCGGATTTACATGAGATTCATGAGAAGTAATGTCATTCCAGAAGTTAACTTTTAGTTATTCTGTCAAAATAGTTTTATAATACCCGCCATAACTCACTCAAGTTTATACTAAACGGAATCACTGATCCAAAAACCGAATAGACCAACATGAAACAGTCAGTGTCCGAGTCTTCCGTCCGAGTTCATCAAACATGTCATTTTGCTTTTTTTTAAATGAATAGGTACATCTTTGGCTGCATGAGAGTGATTTCCCAAGAGCACGTTACGACATTCCATAATTTTATTATTTAATAAAAAAACATTAGAGCTAAAAAGGAGCGCTTTTGCCTGAGTTGCCTTTCATCTATAGGCCTGGAGGTCTGTTCGCACAGAAATCACAAACCAGTCCGAGTGAATTTCATAGGTTGAAACTAGCTTTCTGACTGTTTTCAGCCAATGAAAGTCGCTCTGACTGGTTTGTCATTTCTGTGCAAAGAGACCTCAGACCTATATAGATAAAAGGCAACTCAGGCAAAAACGCTCTTTTTTGAATCTAGATATTTTTCTGATAAATAATAAAATTATATGGTAGGTATACAGTTATTTCATCACATAAGGATGAGTTACATATCGTTATGGCCCTTGTTGAGTTTTTTAAGGGATGGCAGTAATGTTGAGCGCTACCTATGTATACAAAGTTCTAGCCCTGTCGCTTTGCCCCAATGCTTTGAAAAACCTAATATATTAACAATTTTTTCAAATAATTATATCAGGTTTATCTACTGAATGGAAAAACTCATGTAATTATAGCAGAAACATTTAATGGTCATATGGCACGTACAAAAATCAATTATCCTAATATAATGTATACAGTATACTAGTTTTCTTTGCCAGGCACATGTTTGTATATTTATCACAGTATACTGAGCAAAAAAATAACATTCAATATAAAACTTGATTAATTAATAACATTGAAAATAAAACTAGATAAAAACACATACATAACAAGATTTAAGAAAATTAAGTATGTCTTTCAAAATTGAGGTAATTTGCCAGGTTTCAGAAGGGCAAGTAAAAAAACTAAAAATAAACCCTATTTCTGTGATCATGTTATCATTCCAGACCAAATATAAAAACATATGCAGTTGACGAAACCATCACGAAGTGATTTTTCGTATCCTAAACCCAAAGGGTCTGCGCCTTCTTCTTTATTTGGCTGTTCCCGATAAACTGCGTATAGCTCCTAAAATAAATCTTATTAGACTTCACAAATTTCAAGATCCAAAGTAGAAATTGTAAACTATTAGGAGACTGGCAATAAAAGGTTACATATTTACATTGCAGAATTATACTTCTATACTTCTAGGAATGATTGTGTTCATGTAGTTAATAATGTCAATTTCAAACGACATATCTCTCAAGAATACCAAACTTGCATGAAAAATTACATTACACTTACCGCGCGAGATGTGTGGATATCCATACTCAATAGCATGAAGGCACCAAAATATCTAGGATGTAGAATAACATAATAAAGTAAACGACCATCGGGTGAAGAAAATTTCCTATGGTGATCAGCGTATTTTACCAAAAGTAACTTGGCAAGTCCTTGATACCATGGAAGTGGCTGGTTTATTAGAGGACTCAAATTTGGGTGTAGGTGGGATAAAGGTGTGAGCTTAGCTAATCGTTTTAAATTCATAAATTCGTCGAAAGTTAGTGGATTTGAGTCTTGAGGTGAAATCATTCTATTCCAAAGAAGATCGGTCCTGCAGTGCCCCATACCTTTAGCAACCATATCCCGAATATCCTTTTGTGTAGCTTTGGCTTTGTCTAAAATCAGTTTTTGCATAATTTGCTCGTGGGAAGAATAGTAGCCCAAATAATTCACAGTTTCTTGTACTATTTTTGTAGATTTTATAAGAGCCTTTTCATCTGTAGACCTACTTAATGAATTTTCGTCACAACTTTCATTAGAACAACCACCTCCCTCAGGTTCCGATGTTGGTAAACTTAAATCTATATCTTTTTTTACATATTCCATAACAGATGATCCACTTAAAGATACTGTTCGAAATTTTCCTAATTTTTGTTCATGTTCATACATAGGATAAGTTTCCCTTTTTGAAGTTAGTATTAAATAATATTTCAAATGTAACACTTTGTCCGTAGGCTTATAGGGTGTGCACAAATTATAAATGACTAAAGTCATATCAAAATCATTGGTGTGCTGTCTATCTTGGAAATCCATATATGATATTTGTCTAGTTGTGCTGACCTGTACCAAAATATATTCTGGCGGATTAGCTTCCATTTTGAAAACTTTGAAATCATATTGGTTTACATTCAATATCAAGTAATCGTATAACTGTCTTCCTTCAGTCACTAAGCCATCAATGGTTAATGTATCTGAAATTTGTTGGTGTAATATTCAACTAACTTATTTTGTTTTATGTGTTAGTACCTGAGTAAACTAAATTTCTGGCAAAATTTGGAGCTTTATTATAATATTTCATAAAATCATCCAAAAATTGGCGAACATTATATTTGTCCAGAAGTCTTCCTTGATTTCCGCCCATGTAATTGCAGATAGACCTCAAATGAAAGTCGTAAGTGAAAGAATGAAGATGCATTAATATTTTTACTTTGTCACATTCATCCAAAAAGCTTATGGTGAACTAAAAACAAAAATTTAAGCTACAGAAGATCTTTATAGCAACACATACTTACCCCTATTACAGACGATCTAGAAGTGATATTTTGTAACCTGTTACATTCAATTGCGTATAGTTTGGTCACAAAAAATGGTTCTTCGAATGAAACAGTAAAAATTAAAATACCTCCCAAAATTGTCCTTTGTATATAAAATACCAACTTGTGTAAAGATTTATCCCTTGACCATAAACTGAAAAATATGCACAGATGCATTATAAAACAATGTTGATTAAAGCCAATCTAAAAAAAAAGTCAATATCATTGAACTATAACCAAAAACTGGAATGCTAACACATAAGGAAGAACGTGAAGCCTAGTGCAGCTGCTGCGGAGGGGATACCTGTTTTTGTCGCACTCATTATGTTAAATGGCGAAAATTGCTTCCAACACGTATTCCAATTGATGAAACCTGTGAAGGAAAATATGACAAAACTTTCGAAAACGTCATATGTCAGCGAGCAACAGAAAAAAACAACATTCCCCCTTGTGGCATCTGTCTTTCATGGCTTCATTTTTTGGGCAGATATGGCAATGTGCGCGCATTCCATTTTTTGACTATAGTTCATTGGTCAATATAGCATTTTTCATATTCTCTTAACATAAATATTTGATCAGAAAACCCGAGAGAACCCCAATTCTTATACAGCATGATCTTTTAAAGAGAAACGGAGAAACAATAGGAGGTTTTTATGAAGCAATAGATACATAGTTGAAATACTCGATTTGAATTTGTAAAGTTTTAGCTCTCGAAAGTACACTTGGCCAAACATAAAACTGGTACATGCATTTTCCTATGTGTTGTATTGTGTAAATCGACTTTTATTATCACCTCAAAAATTACAAAAAGAGTCGAGTCAGTGTCATCTTTAAATCAAATAAAATGCCGCCGCAAATAAATTCGACAATGTCGAATGTCAAAAACTGTCTAACCTGAGTTTTTTAGAAGAAACATTTTATTGTTAAGCTAGATTCACATTATTCAAATTAAAAAAATACCTATTACCTGTACCAGTTTTATGTTTGGCCAAGTGTACATGTGTTTAGTGTTTATGGATTATGAATATAAGTATCAATTAAAAGTACTATCTGACATTTCTTGGAACTTACCAAAAAATACCAGGTAATATTATAAGTATACCTCAAACCTACAGACATTGAAAGTATGTGTTAGGACCCTAATAATAATCTTTCAATTTATGGTTTTGTTATCCTACCCAAAATATCAAGATAAAAAATGAAAATCAAGAACTTATATCAAATGTTTCAATGTTTTTTTTCCACATCTTCAACCTGTTTCGATTCAAGTACCAGTTTAGAGGAGAACGTCTTTAGGTGTCCACTTATCTGCTTGTTAGACCGTATTGAAAATAATAAAATTGAGAATAATCAAACAAACTCACCCTGTGGTCCCAGCTTGTGGATTATCAATTTGCAGTGGTGTAAAACCTAATGTGTGCAAATACATTCGGTACTCGCAAAAAAACGCATAACACAATTCAGAGTGCCACAATTCTCTTTCTGCTACTGACAATGTATCGACCATAGGTATGTGAGACGAAACTATCGTGTGATCTCTGGTATTGGCGGCTTTGATCCTCCATTTTGACCAAAATAATAATGGTGTGAGGACATAATGGAGAATTCTGGAGTTTTGCATTAGTAGATTCAGCTGAGGAACTGATGTATTGCCTGTTCTCGATTGGTACATTGAGTGTAACTTTTTCATTTCATCTAAAAAAATGTATGTAATCTATGATACAAAAATTAAATAAACACGAACCTCTATTTTTCTTTTCTAAAGACTTCATTTCCTTCATTTCAATAGAGAAAATTACAACTGGATCTGTTGAGGTATATTTTGTATTTGAGAAATTATCCCTAAATGATTCCAAAATCATGGGCAAATTCAAATTGGATTGATAAGATTTTTTCGTATGTGGTAGATCTGTGGGAAAGTTTGACATCACTTCCAAATGACTAATAAAATTATAGTAACTGTTAGCTGAAAGCATCTGAAAGGAAGAATAAAATTAATTAATTCGAATAAAACTTAAGTTTACTCACAAAGCATTTTCTGGTTAATGGTTGGTTATAAAAGAGGCCCAGTTTTTGCGAGATTGCAGAGTTTGCATAGCAGGAACGGAGAGTTAACCACTGGTTTAAATTCGTGCATTGCTTATGCAACTTGTCTACGTTTTCCTTGGGCCAATTGTAGGTGTAAATGACAAACTAGAATAAATTGGAATTGCATGAAATAGTATATTGGCAATATATACTTCTAATCAAAAATACTTCTATCTGCTTACATTATCTGTTTCAACAGAGATCCAAAACATCTTTTCTCTTGGTATAAATAAGTTTTCTTGCACAAGTGAAACAAATTTTTGGTTGTGCTTCAGATTATTCGCAATATCATTTGTAGAATCTTCAAGTTGTTCCTTTTTTTGAAAACTTGTAGATATAATCACATATTTTTGAATAACAGTTGATGAGACAGCCGGTGTATATATTTCCTGACTCATACTAGCAGCTGAATGGGTCGGTAGAGCTCTGAAGGTTTTTGGATAATCGGTTAACATCCTAATAAGTTCTCTGACAATAATGCATGGTGTGTGTCTGTGGGCTAGTTTGATGGCATATTTTTTTACTGCAGGGGCATTAATATTCTCTCCAAATTCCATCCAAGATGGCAAATATTTTGAAAAAACTATGGATAAAATTCCATTATCATTGTTGTCTTTGCTGGTATGTATTTCTAGGTCGTGATTAACAATATCTCTAGAAGCTTTTAGGTTGTTTGAGAGGACGGCATTTCTTTTATTGTACTTCCTGTTACTGAAAAGATGCGCTTCCATTTTCTTTGGCAATGCTGCTTTGACTTTGGGTTTGATATTTTTATTAAAAGTCAGATCAAGTTCACAATTAAATTCAACATCTGTGTCAAGATTTAAACATTCTATTTCTTGCTTTTTTTTTGTGAAATAAGTTTTCTCATCATAATCTTCTACTGACAATGGTTTTTTGAGCAAATAATACTCAGTTACAATATCCCATATTGCTTGACTTACTGCTGACGTAAGTTTCTTTGATAAATTTTCTATATTTATTCTGCCTTGTTTCCATAGCCTAAACTCCAAATATGTGTCAGGTAATTCTTCCTTATCTTCGATAATTTTCGAATTGACAAAACTATCATATTCTTTTGTAACAAAAAGCATTTCAAATTGATTTTCGCTATGAACTATCGCTGCTCCATCACAATTCGTAATTAATGCCATAATTATGCAAGCTATCCCTCGACTGCCAGATGAAGGAGTTTGGCTTTGATTATAAATAAATATATTGTCAAAAGGCATATCAATTCCCAGCAGGTTATTACTATAATCTTTGAAATGGAACTCAGGACGAGTGTCAGTATACTTAGGGATATTCAAGAATTGTAATAGATTTTGTGTTAAATAATGAATAAATGATTTCGATTGGTGCCATTGAAGAGGAAATTCTTGAACAGTAAGCTGTAAAAGAAATGGTATTTTTTTTGTAACACATAACTTATTTAAAAAAGTAGTTACCCTAATAGTACAGTCAGGTTCCTGAGGTTTCTGTATAAATCTTACATCCTCAGGCGTCAAGGGACACATAGAGTTTCTAGCCAATGTAACTGATAAAAATTCCAAAACCGCATCGTCAAGTCTATTCTGAAGCACTTGCACCAAATCACATTGCACGTCGGTGCCAGCTTGAGTAATACCATGGACGCGTAAAATTATTATGTCTTCGTTGAGTTTTTCTCTGGAATCTTTCGGATCGTAGACTCTGCTTTCTCTTTCACCCAAGGATCGAACTCTTGGACGAAGATTATCGGACTAAAAATATAAACATTTTGAATGTCTCTATCGAACTAGAAATTTGATAATAAGTGCTTACCGATAAAATAGATGCAATGCTTTGATCTGAAATGGCCAAATTAGTTTTACTATTTTGACTAGTAGGTAGTGAAGTGATAGAAGGGCTTCTAGAAACATTACCACTCTCGTTCTGTGCAGATTTGAACAAGTGTCTACCACCGCCACATGAAATATTGCCACTTTCATAGAGTCGTAAATAAAAAACGTTTTCTTCTTTGTCTCTGTACACAAACATGTTCTGCCTGTTAGAAACCGAAAACTTCTCCAGAATATTTTTTAAAGCCATAATGCCTCTGGATGTGACAGATTTATTTCCTGAGCCAGTTTTCAGACGAGGGTGTAATACAAAAAGTTTTTCCCATACTACTGGGCAACTAAAATAACCTGGTTTTAAATTCAGTGAAGCTTCAGACATAGACCTGGAAAATATTGCTTCCGAATCATCATTAATTTCATCTAAAATATTATAAATTAATATAGTCCTGAAAAAATGGACAAATACTTACTGTCGTATCCCTTAATTTCTTTGTTGTATGAATAATTCCTAGCTGAGGGAGTATCAATGTGTGAATGCGAATCATCTGGTTCCAGAAGTGAATCGCAAGATTTTGATTCGTAGAGTGAATGTAATAACAGCAGTTGATTAACTTGTTTACATAAATCACCAATCGTATCACATACTGTTCTTTCGACATCTGTGTAAACTTCAACATGGGGAGAATTTAATTCAATGAACCTAAAATAAGATCGGGATATGTCTGTGTTTAATAATGAATCCAAATAGAATTATTAATGGATTATTGACTGTAGTACATTTTTTTCTTTTCTTCCAAATACCTATTGTCTATTTCAATGTGTAACTAAAGTGGTACGTTTTTGGACAGCCCTGGTGGGCTTCACAAGAGAAGAGTGGATACTCCTTTTTACCATACACTTCTCTTTTGTGTTGAAAGCACCTAGGATTACGCACCGGTGTGAAGTTAGCAGCCAAAACTTGGCAGCTGATTTGACGGAAACACCCGAACGATCATTGGCGTAGCATTTTTTTAAAATTCAAAATAAATTCAAGAAACCATACTTAAACATCGACTCTAGGCATGAAATTGATAGAGAACTATTTCAACACCTTTTCCAACCCCAACCCCTATGCAAAATCTCATTGACTCAAACCCTGTCGAAATATGACAAACTACTCTTTACAAATAAAAATGAAATACTGAGATTTTCGTATTTTTCTCCAACTCTGACTTAGAGTCTTGCCATGAAATTAATAGGGTACTATTCCCACACCATTTCCAACCCTTATGCAAAATCTCATTGACTCAAACCCTGAAATAGTGCTCTATCAATTTTATGGCTAGACTCGATGTCTAAGTATGATTTATTGAATTTATTTTAAATTAAAAGATAAATTCAAATTGAAATTCAAAATTCAAATGGTTTATTTCCAATGTACAATGTATCGGAATTGTCAAATAAAATGCATTACAATATCACTAACAGAAAAAAAAGATCAAATTAAATCTAAAGTTATGATTAAAAAAAAAAGGAGTAGAAAGGGCATTCAGCAAGCATGGCCTTAAGAGCCCCCTTAAAAATTTGAAAGCTCATAGTGCTCTCAATGCATTCAGGCAGATGATTATAGATTTTAAGGGATGTAACTTCAGGACCATCCCGCACCTGAGACAACCGAGCCGAAGGAACATACAATTTGTCGGCGTTACACGTCCATTAGTAATTAACGTCGCCAAACCTTGCACAGCCACCAGACTTCTTGAAAACTCGACGAGCAAAATATAGATATTTATGACAGTTGGTAAAAGGTTCAATGGCATGATTCCCTGAAAGGAAGTCTGAACATGGTGCGGATAATGCGTTTTTGACATATCAACACCCCAGGAGTTTCCCCAGGCAGAGCAGAATGCACCGCTGCAAAGTAGAAGGTTTTCAAAGTTCAGATATCCACAAAATCTCTGGGCTGCAGGATGGCATAGTTGCTACGCGACAACTCTTTGCACACTGACTCAACTTGATCATCCCAAGACAAATGTCTGTCAATCACAATTTCCAAAAACCTGGAGGAGTCTTGCTGAGCCAGGCCAGTCGATCCCTCCCTGAGGAGTAGACTTCTATCCTCGACCACTCGCATCGGAGTAAAAACCAACCAAACCACCTTTAAACTATTCAAACAAAGACCATTCCTCTGGCACTAGCCTGCAATCTCAGCTACACATTTGCTGCCCCTCCAGTGTAGTGATTCATAGTCAGGCCCTGTGACGAGTGCCGACGTATCATCAGCAAAAAAGGTAATAAAGCTGTCATCAAGCAAAAGAGGCAAGTCATTTATAAACAATAAAAAGAGGATTGGTCGAAGGACACTTCCCTGAGGAACCCCAGCTTCAGCGGCTGCCCAATCGAAGACTGCTACCCGACCTTCAACATTCAGCCTGATAGCCTGGGTTCTACATGACAAATATGAAACCAGCCACCCGTCAATTCTACGCCAATGGTCGATCAGGTGTTTCCGTCAAATTGGCTGCCAAGTTTTGGCTGCTAACTTCACACCGGTGCGTAATCCTAGGTATGGTAAAAAGGAGTATCCACAAATTTACACATCCACTCTTCTCTTGTGAAGCCCACCAGGGCTGTCCTTAGTAATAAAACTAGTGAAGTTCATTTCCCATGTTTTACCTGCAATGAAAATACATGTGCACCAAATCCTGATCTGGTCTTAAAATCAACCAGAAATTAGGCAAGTGCGCTCTTTTATTGTTCAAAGTCATCAGCCAGTCGCAATCTTCATCGTCTTCGCTAACATCTTCATCGTAGCCTAAAAATGTAACCTAATATTAAGATACTTGAGAATTCCATAAAAAAAAATATAAACTTACCTCCCTCTGTGCCAGTTACACTGCCACTAGTAATTTCGCTTTGCTGAGACATGGTATCTTCTATACAAGTGCTTCCCACATGAGAAGGTGGGCCTTTGAAAACCTCGTGGACATCTAGAGGAAAATTGCCAGAGCTATTTGTTTGGAAAGAGAGATTAACGCAAGTTTCGGAGTCTTTCAGATATTCATCTTTGGCAATATAATAGTACTCTTGAACTGTACATAACTTGAATCCATAAGGCAAGGGCATTTGCTGAAATTCTTTCAGAAATTTTTCATGGCTATGCGGAGTGGTATATACGAAATTTAAAATAATTTTATCCATTTTACAAGAGGGCCTCGTAGCGTGACCTTCCTTAACGTGATCTATGATGTATTCAATGGTATTTGCAGTTACGGGTTCGATATCGAGCAAAGTTGTACAAATTTCCTCCTCTAAAAGCCATTTAATTTCCTCACTAAGTTTATCGACCGATTGTTTTTGGAAATCTGTGAGTCTTCTCAAAGGCAATGGCACACTAAAATAAGTTGAGGAAATAAAGTAGCTTATCCCTTTAAAAAGATACAAGAGCTTTTTACTGATTGAGCTCTACCATAAATCAAAACATATTAATCATTTATAATACGAAATTACTTACTCTGAATTGATGCTGACATCAGATACAGTACTAACAGTTCTTTGATAGCCACCATCAGAACAGAATGATATAGCTCTCAAACCTTGCTGACTATAATCGTGCAATATATTTTGAACTCGTGGAGGCAAAGTGAGACAAAAAATGTCCAATGTAACCTGAATTTTAGATTTGTGCAAAAACTCGGTCGGTTTTTCTAATGTCTGAATTAGTTCACCTAAGCAAGTAGGCAGCACTCTGACAGAAGTGTTACTGTGGCCACCGTTATTGTATCTCAGAGTACATACAAAATGAAGAAACAAAGGAGTGACGTCGCTCATATTTGCTACATCAATATGTCCCGCACTTAATCCTTTTTCAAGCAAATGAGGGCCCTCCGAGTATATGCTCATGTCTCTTTCAGATCTAAATTCTATTTCTGATGCACAAACGCTAATTTCATCGTCACTATCATCTGGTTTCTCTTCTGGTTGGACACACAAATGTCTAAAAAAGTAATACTCCCCATTACTGGGAACTTGATTAAATGAGGAGCAAACCATTTTGAAAAACTTTTTCTTAACAATCATATGATAATTTTTTAGATCGCTACACGGAAGGGCTTCATTTAAAATCTGAGTGTAAATTTCATCAGTTTTAGTAAGTCTGGTGTGGGCACACATTTTGGAAATATAATCTGTGATATCGATTTCGCCAATTTCTTCTTCACACAAATCCATGGCATTTTGGACATCCAAGTTATGCACGTAGATGCCATGATGTAATGCCAAAAAGAGTGACAAGACAAAACATTTGGAATGAGCCATTTCTAAAGCGTTACAGTGTTCTCTGACATTTCTTTGATCCAGTAGATCTGAGTCTTCAGTTAAACTATCATCGCTGTCGCAACTATTTTTTAATCTGAAAACATCGTTACATTAAATGTACTTAAATGCTTTAACTCGCTAAGTAAAATGAAAACCAAATCAGAATGAAAATTGCTTGTAAACATACAATTTTAATTCTACATAACAAAGAGCATTATTTTGTATTAGTAAGTACTGTGCAATTACTAAACAATTTGATTTAATATTTTGTTCATGGGTGTCTGGGTTCATTCATAAAAAATACAAAAGTTTCTTACGGCTCTGTTATCACTGTTGGCATGAAGCTTGTACATTTAAATCTGTAATCCAAATAAACATCATCGGGAGCGCAGCTTTGTCCGTTTTCACTTTCCACATAGGCATTAACTAAACGTCTTAAGGGACAATCATATACATATACGGGTAAACACATGATATTTGGAGTCTTCATTGGAACATCACTGATATTACTTTCTCTTGAAGAAGTCCTTTCGTCAGATTCGTTCAAGTCGCTTGGAATGTTTTCAGTTTCTACACATATCAAGGCTTTGAGATCTTCAAATGAAGCAGGTACAAAAGTTAGAATAACATGAGTTACTGAAATGCCTTTTATATAGCATTTCCATTGGTAATTGAAATCAGAATTATTATATTTTTCCGATATAGGACAAGTATGAGGTATTTTGTTCCTGTGCCTTTTTATAACTTCTTTAGTCAACGTTGAGCACTCTTTTTTGGACAGTTCCAACTCTCTGTCATTAAGCAAGAAAAAATGTTCAAAAATATTATCTAAAAGTAATTTGTTGGCTCTATCTACTTTGGCATGTTTCTTATTAGTATTGGCTTTTTCTTCCCTTAACATGGAAAATAACATTTCAGTCTGTTGACACAAATTCAATAATTCTATGGGATCAAACTTGAAAGGAATGTTTTCGATTCGTGGTTCTACTATTGGATACCATGGAGATCTGAAATATAAAAAAAAGTGTCTCACACAAAATCGTGACTAAAAACTTCTGCCCATGAGAATTGTGCTATTTTTCTCAATTTGAACATATTATTATCTTCAATTGAGATTAGAGATTAAAGAAAAAAATTGACAATTGCTTACCCATTTTCAGGTACGTCTTGATTCTGCATGTCAGGATTAGGCAGTTTACTATTCTTTCGCGAATGCGTTCGATTGCTAGAACTCACTTTGGGATTGTTAATGTCCACCGCGTTTGTAAGGTTATGAACTGCCTTGTCCTGGCACATCAAAGATATGTGTTCCATTGTTATTAAAACGTTGATACAACGAAAGTCAATTTTACGAATCTAGAGGTAAATAAATTTTTTTTTGCCGATGTTGCTTCTTCAATCAATTACTTACTGCATCAGCAATCTGATAATAATTCATATTATTAATATAGCTTATTCTAGAATGGCTAGGTACAACTTTCCCATGCTGGGGCTCAATCCAAACTTCCGTGATCATCTCAAGTTCAGCCTCTTGTTCTAAAGATGGCTCCATTTCTTCATCGGAACAGCTCAATAAATCATCCCCCCAATTATTATATGGCGGAAAGAGGACATACTGAACAAGGCAGCTCGATTTTGCTTCTAAATCTACTTCTAGAACCATTGTTACTATGCCTGATGATGAATAAGCGAATTGGTAACCCTCTTTTAATCGCATCCTAGTAAAAAAGTTTTTTAATGGAATTTAATAATAATTCACAAACTGTATCTAATCAGAATATTTCGCAGATTGGAAAGTGACATTACAAAAGTTATTATATCGCTTTTAGATGATGCTAGATTTTCCAATAGGAGTGATTGTGCTTTAAAATCAGAAAAAAAAAACAGATGCATAAAGGAACCATGCCATAGTCTATTTGCTCTAACCGCTAGTACAATAATTATTGTACTGTGACTTTTCCATGTGAGAGCTATTCTGATTATTAATAAATTCTTACCTAGTTAAAGTATTTAAAATTCTTGAGATAGATGCATCAGGCAATCGAAGATTCGATGGATGTTTGGCGCTCCATATCCACCGTTTATGAAACAAATAACGAGACAAAGTAGTGAAAAGTGACCCTGTCACAGGAGATGACAAATAGCTGGAACTGTCAGGAGGATGAGTACCATCTGGGAAAACTACTGTGGTAAATGTGTTAGGTACTCGCTCATAACGAATCAGGATTTTTTCCAGGGGTTTATGTAAAAGTACGCAGCAAGAAGGTTCGTTAGCTTTAGGTATGTATGAGAGGGATGATAATAGTGCTTTTAATTCATCGCAAACCTATAATAATTAATAGATTATTCATAATATTTAACAAATTTGAAGGATCACTTACTTCAAATCTAGATTGTCCAGGAGTATTTGTAGAAAACCCAAGATTTATAACAGCACTAGGAAATTTTGAACTCACTCTAACAATGCAAAAACCTACAGGAGGTTTATTGAGTTCATTGTAGAGAAATTTGAGGTAGGTATGGTTGTCTATCAGTATGAATGAGGCCCACTCTGAAAGCATGCTGTAGAGGGCAACAACGGCCTGTCTACATTGGACAACCTGAAAAAAACGTATTAATATGGTTATTGTTTTTTTGTGGGTAATATTTACCTGGTATCGTTGAGATGAGCAGCTAGACAAATGCAAGGTAGTAGGTAACGGCGTGTCGTGAGTTAAGATTAATGAAATTTTATGGGTGTGAAACCATTTCCTCCAATTGTTTGTTTCCATTTGACATATACCTTGCCAAATATTGATGAACCTCGGGCAAAAGTTGTCTCTGAAAAAAGTTACAGAATATACTTTGTAGCAAATGTTCACGTTCATTTGTCTGCATGTTTAAACTTACCTCGGAACCAAAACAAGTTTTGTTGAATCTGAATAGGATGGATTATTTGAATTAAAAACTGGTAAGCCACTTTTAATGGTATCAGGTAATGTGCACCAATCTTTATTATTGGTAAAATTGCTAAGTTGACTAGCCAATCCCAGATCTCCAGACGAAACTTGCGATAACCTACTCCAAAACCGTTGTATAATTGCTTGTCTTAGTACAGATTGGGATTCTTTTTTAAACAAGCAAGTCATATCGTGAAGGAACTCATATGGAGCTGAAAAATAGCTAAATTATCATATTATTCGAGTTTACAAAGAAGCATTTTTTTACCGCACACATGAACTTCAAATTGTATCAAGTTCTTAAGAGTTGGCCACTGAGACATAAGTTTGTAATGAATAAAAATAGAAGACTTCCATTGCTGAACTAATTTGATTTCCAAATTTCCATTTATATAAAAAATATTCTAAAAGGTATGCATCAATAATAGTACTTAATTATGTAGATATAGACGTACATCTACAGTAAACCCTTCGCGCATTCGTCTAGCTAATAAAAGTAACAAGGAGGCACTGGTGCTTTCTTCAGTCTGTCTCTTGGACAACAGTATAGGTAGTCTTTGATTATAAAATCTATCATTGCTAAAACAAATTAAAATGGATCATCAAATAGATAAATATAAAATCATACTTACTTTCCAGTCCAAGAATTTCTATTATCACAGTTTCTCACACATAATCTACTATTACTATGGAAAGACCAAAATAAAAAATTATCATGGTAAAAATTCATTGACATAGAAGAGTCATAAAACTAAAATCGATTCCAATTAGTATTCTGATAAACTTGAACTGAAATTGTTACTTACTATTTTTGGGAAAAATTCTAAACAGCAGCCCAATGTCGAATGAGCAAAAAAATGTAATAAGTCTACATATGGCACTAATCCCGCACCACACTGGGGATAGAACCGAGAGCCTACTTTCAAAAAGGAAACAGCAATTGAATCGTAATGAAGCTGATGCAGCATTGTTTCCATTACGTTTGAATCCGGCATTGATACTATACCATCAGTGATGACTAGAATATCTTAAAAATAAATTAACTTTTTTTGTTTTGCAAGTATATTTTTTGAATAGTGAGTTCGCTTTTAAACAAATTATTGCATAAAGTGATGTCGTTCCTGTACAAGGTAGAAGTTTTTCTATTAGTTATAGTGGCCCAGAAAAACAACCTAGACTTAAAAAAATAAATAAAAAAATGCTGCTCTAAAATATTCAATAACACATCTAGCCATTAGTCTAAACATGTATATGTATATTATATACTTGGAAATGCAATATGTAATACTTTCTTAAGTTAAAGAATGAATAATTTTCAGGCATTCTATTAAGTAATAATTTACTTTATGTAATTAGAGTTTGGATAACATGAATTAACATTGATAGAGTCCAAACAAAGATTATGAACGATACTACAAGGCAGATTACCAATTATCCAGGATTAGAAGGAGACACAATCAAAAGCCTTACTTAGATCACATCACATTTATCAAGTTCAATAATAATAATCAATTAATGGTCATCTTAGTTAAATGAGATCCAAAACCAAATGAAACAAGTGTTAAGTAAACACAGTCTCTAACTAATAATTTATTCTCGTTTCCAAAGCCATTTAGAAAAAACAGCCATAACTGTAAATGAGCCTCATGGAAATGAATTAATTTTCAGTGCAAACTGGAATGGTATGAATTATAGAAGTAGGATTTGGAATTTATTTATAAAGCTAGTATCAGATTCTAATTACATTGCAAAAAATTGAACATGTTAACCGATTTTTCCACTACAAAAACGTCCTGGTTAATAGGTTTATTGATTTATTGTCTGCTCCGAAATGGGAAATGTTTAGCAAGGTTATTGTGTTTGCTTTAAGATAAGCGACAATTAACTAAGAGATAACGGTTTTGCATAAACATAACAATTATAAAAAAATACATACTCTTATCCAAACAAGATTGAAATTCATTGACTGGTTAATTGGATCATTTATTTATTATTAAATTTAAAGCTAGGCTATACATTTTTTCAAATTCGAGTAGGTACCTTTAAATGCATAAACTCCACCACTGATTGAATCTGAAGAATTCCGGAATAAATTCAAAACAAAAAGGACTGATGTCTGGGGAATATTAATAAATAAGCAAATTCTCATTACTGGATTTGTCAAAACAGAAACTTACGACTCAATGTTGTCTCTGGCAAAAGGTATATGGCCAACATGGAATACCTTAGCATGTTTACGAAATTGACATCTGGGGTTACCATTGGTATTTTTGATAGGCGCCCTTTTTCTGTCGATCCGAAAAATTCTCCTTGTGCCGGACGATCTTGAGTTGCCTATAAAATTTGATTATGAATTATCGAAAATGGAACTAAAAAATATAAGTTCATGCGTCAAACTAGCGTCCCTCCCAATAGTACATTATTATTACCTAGGTAGAGAAGTTGGCCATTATATACCGAGCGGTTTTATAAACCGAGGCGCAGGTTTATAATGCGTAAGGTATATAATGACTTTCTCTACCGAGGGATATATAGAATTTTTTTTACTACTGCTAGTAGAAAATAAAAAATAGGTTTGAAACCTGTGCTCAAATTATTTTCTCTTGTCGGAAGTATTGCCCTCTATCAACAGCTTACGGTAATATCCTATAATGTACATACAGGAACCTGCTTTTTTTAAAATTGACAGTTTGACACTGAAATTAAACCAATAAAAACCTGTTACGTTATGACAATATCCTTGCGTCATGACGTCATCATTTTAATTATTGACCTAGGTATTTTTTCATTATTTTCATTATTAACCTAGGGAGAGAAATTCATCCATTTTTTCCCAGAAAAATTGATGGAATAATGACTACTTCTCAGGTTAGTAGTAAAAAAACTACTTTACGGACAGAGGGGCTCAATTCTCCAGTTACGACTAAGAATCTCGCAATCGACAAATCACGCATCTGAATGTTGAACGCGAATCCTTAACTCTATTCTCGGTCGGTATGCGAATTTGAATGACGCATTCGACAATTGTCGAATGTTTAAACATGGCAACATCTAATTTTATAGTACTGGCATGTTTTTGACAACTATAAAGTGGCATAATTTTTGATCTTTAAAATGAAAGTGGAGTTTTTGGTGAAAAAATATAAGTTCTAGGTCCTATTTTGTGCGATTACGATTACAATTTGTGGTAAAGTAATGGAAAAAAAGGGAATATACAAAGTTCTTTAAAAAGTGAACATGCTTACATTGGCTTCAATAGAAATTGAAGAAGCTCTAGTATTATCCCTTTATTTTTCTCAATGGCGAATCACCTTCGAGTTGGTTTTATTTCTAGGGTAAGCGTGTCCAGTTGCTATGTTTACCCTGGAATTATGCTTAACCCGGATCGAAAGTTTTTCACAAAAAGGCACTCGGACATACAATTCAACGGGTTACTGTACTCATAGAATCTCCTAGGAAATCTATTATTTTCTACTTGAATCGCAAAACTCGATTTCTTCGTAATCAGCCATTTTTATGACAAAAATAAATAAAATTGACACTTCGTGATTCCATCTCGCGTGGTTTTACCCACTCGTAATTATGTCGATCAAAAAAAGGCGACGGTGACATTCGAGAATTGGATTATGCCAAAAGGTATCGAGATATGCGATTCTCGTACGCGACATTGGGAAATCGTGATTCGAGAATTGGGCCCCTGGTGCGTGACATTTTATGTCTTCTAAAAGGTGCGTGACGTAAGTACTTTACGCGCGGTAGTGGAAAAAAAAACAATTATTGCGCCTTCACTTACAGTCGGGAATAAGATGTTGCACCCATACTTATACAGCGTGGTCCATTTAAATTGAGACCTTTCAATATCTCGAAAATGGCGCGTTTTTGAAAAAAAAAGTTCAATATTGTCTTAAGTTCAATGGCCCACCCTGTATACCTATTGTATATCGTGTGCTAGAAACTTAAAATTACCAACTTTTCATTGAATATGAAAATTTTGCAACTAAATAAAAGAAAAAGTAAAGTCTATTTTTTTTTCAAAGATAATTCCCCAAGTCAAAAATTTAGTAACTATGTTGGCAACACAAGCCTTCTCTACATAAAAAATTTGAAAGCATCGACAATTTAACATTGTTCTGCCAACATAATGTCATTTTGACTTTTATCTTTAAAAAAAAACAGACTTCAAAAATTCCGCTTTCCGCTTCTACCCTTTGCGAACGAAAATGGGAAATTTCCTCAAAAGGGGATAATTCCGTCAAGCTGGCAACACTGTGGCTGACTCGTTATCAAACGCAAGGATATCAACAAAGCATTTGATAGGTTGGATAAGAGCCCCGCCCCTTATACCAATCAGATGCGAGTGATATCAGCAGGGCATTTAATTGGTTAGTTGAGCTCCGCCCCTTTCCGGGGTTTATGTATCGTCAAGGTATTTGATTGGTTGTTTCCTTTTCAACCCTTTCCAATGGCCCCGGCCCACCTACAATGACTTAACCTTTTCAAATAGAAATTCGGTACCGCCGCCATATTCTTGCAGATTTTGAATATGAATATAGAAGTTCGCCACGCCCCTGCCGCCATATTTCTGCAAATTTTTTGATGTTTACTCAGGTATTATTATTAATATTATTATTATCAAAGAATATATTGATTTATTCTTTATTTTTCAATTTTTCCATCTCATATTTTGTCTATTCCCGGATCTTGAATTTTCGTTTTCTTCTTAATTTTTTTATGTACCTACAGAAACCTTTTTTTTATATATCCTTGCGTCATGACGTCACTTTCATTATTAACCTAGGTATTTTTTCATTATTTTCATTATTAACCTAGGGAGAGAAATTCAATTTTTTCCTAGAAAAATAGATTGAATAATGACTATTTCTCAGGTTAGTAGTAAAAAAAAATAAGTTTTTTGGGTTGTAGTCTATCGAAAGCTTTCAATGATTACTTTTGATGAACATTGACTCAAAAAGTTGTGATGAACAGACTCATAAATCCTTGATTTTGGTGGAATATCCTGATTTTAATTCTAATTTTTTATTTCTTAACAGTGGCTGAACAAATAATATCATAATTATTATAGGTATTTTAAAACGAGTTTTGAGGTTCTAAATGACTAGGAAAGCTTCTTTGTTTTTGTCAACCATGAAACTTGATGGGAAAAATAAAAATAATTTGTATCTTATTCTCTGACACATTAGAACACATTTTCTAATTTCCATATAGGGTATACAGGACAAATGGTTAACTAAAATAATAGACATAAGCTTTAATAAACTACTAATAAATCTCGAGCGTTAATAATTAATATGCTACATACCAGGAATATCTTAGAGCAACTAAAACCCGATTATTATTAATAGATTCCAATAAGAATTCCATAGGTTGAAAATAACATTACTTAATTGTGAAATATCGGGATTAAGAAACATAGGTAAATTATATTCTGCATAAGAGCTTGGATTTTTACATTTGAAAGCAATTATTACATTAACAACGCAAAATCTTATGCTGAATATAGTATATTTTGGACTTTTTTGTTACTTCAGCCAGGAAGGAAATATTCAACTTGTTTCGTAAAAGAACAGAGGCACAAATAATTATCAATATAAAAAAAGATAAAGTATATTACCTTAAGATCCACAATCTTATCCAGAGCCTGTGTACATGCGTCAGCAATTTTTCCTTCTAACATACAAAAATGAGTTTCAACACACATAATAATCTCATTCACATTCCGTGAGGTCATCTGAATACCCTTCAAAATAACTTGCTGAGCAGGGGTAATAAAAAATGGCGTATTAACCATTATAGTCAAATAAATAGCTGGTTGAAAAACCAAGGTATTTCCAGGTATGGTGAACTGAAAAAGTGTGCAAAAAACATTTCATAATTCTCCCTATACCCCAAATATTAATGTACTTACGTGCTTGGATAAACCTTCTATGCTAATTTTAAAACTTTGTAAAATTTCGTCAAATACAAGTTCTTTCCTGTCAATATCTACAGTGGCATGGCTCGGACTCATGTCTAAGCAGTATACAAATCGGTAAGAATGGGCGATAAACTTCACTTCTGTACGATTGGTTACCAAAAATCTAGTACATTTTGTACTGGTGTTGGGTTCTCTAGCTATGGCTGAAACGACTTCGATATTTTGAGAAGTTTCTAGCTGCAAAAACCAATTTCTGTACTATGAGCCCGTTTCAAGGACATAAGTTTAACCCGGCATTACACGCGTCAAAAAACTTACGTCATTACACGTGTTCGGTCAAATCGACCGAATGCCCAAATGTTTATATGAATTATTAGCTTTTTTCGCGGAGACGATTCCAAACGTATTCTTAACGCTAAGGCATGACCTACGAAGGTTAACTGCGTAGGCCATGGCTTAGCGTTCATAATACGTTTGGAATCGTTTCCGCAAAAAAAGTGTACAAGCACTATAATTCGTAGAATTCATAATGATATCAAAGAGAATTATGCAGGGTATCCTTAGATAAACTGATACATTTTGCAGGTAAATATCTCGAAAACAGGAAAAGATAACGAGATGCGGTTTGTTCTGGGAGAATAAGGATTTTTTTGATTTTTTTTTCACATTATTGCCGAATCCTAAAATTTGCCGAAATTTGGTTTCACAGACATGCGATTTTTTGAAATAAAATGACTGCCTTATTTTTAATGAAACACCCTGTATATTTTGTCATCGTCAGAAAGCCTGATTTTTCTAGTTTACAAAAATGTAACATTTTTTTAAATTATCTTGAACTTTCATCGTGAAAATTGCACTTTGTCGAAGAGAATACCATCGAATAACCAAAAAAAAATAATTGATAATTAAGTTGTGTTTAATACTTTTATTAACTAATTAGCGCATATTTAACTAATAATACAAGTATTAAACACAAATAAACTAATAATGCAAGTGCATATAAAACGCAAATTAATTATTATTATTTTTTTTTGACCAGTCGATGGTACCCTCTTCAACAAAGTGCAATTTTTACGATCCATTTTCGAGATAATTGAAAAAAATTATACATTTTTGTAGTAGAAAAGTCTCGCTTTCTGACGATGACAAAATATACGGGGTGTTTCATCAAGAATATGGCAGTATGTAATTATTTGAAAAAATCGAATGTCTGTAAAACCAAATTTCAGGATTTGTCAATACCATGAAAAAAAATTTTTGAAAAATCCTTATTCTGCCAAAACAAACCGCATCTCGTTATCTTTTCTCGTTTTCGAGATATTTAACTGCAAAATGTGTCAGTTTATCTAAGGACACCCTGTATTATGCAGTACAGTTACCGTGTTATCAACAGCCAAAGGTACGACAACGAACGAGCCAATAAGTAGTGGAAAACCTGCATCAGGCATTTTTGGATGGACAAAACTGCCACCCTTGTACCAGTGTATGCAACTTGTGTCTCATTATTCCAAAAATTGGGGTTCTGAAGTGTGTCATGACTCATGACTATCAAATATGTCTTACTATATCCATGGAACCAAAAAAGCGGGCCAAAACACTTTCCGTGCGTGATCGAAGCATGATCGGCACGTGGCTTTGCATCTATTGGGCTAAAATAAACAAACCCCTCACGCTGGCCAATCGGATTTACCTGCAATCTGTAGGGGACTTCCAAGGTAGGGGAACTTATTGCTTTTGGCCTAATCGTTACAGGGTCGGAATGGTCATTTACGACGTTTTAAGGATCGGTGGTGTTACATTTTACCGGATATATAGTAGTGATTTTTTTTATTAGTTTTAAAGTTTTAAATTATTAAAATGTCGGATGAAGAAGCTGCTAATATGTGTTTCAACACTCCACCTCAAAAGAGACCAAAAAAAGTGCCTTTCAATAGTAATGAAAAAAATTTAATTATGAACATTTACAAAAATGAAGTCGAAGCAAATCCCGAATTGTTAGTTGATGAAATCGTGCGAAAAGTAGGAAACATTGCTGGAGTGTCTCCAAGTGGTGTTTATGCCGTTATGAGAGAATCTAAACAAAAGCAATTATTTTCTGATTCAAAGCCATACCCCTTACGAAAGAAAATTATTGACAAGGTAGACGATTTTGATAAAAACGCTATCAGAAGGAAAGTACATCAATTTTTTTTCCGGAACCAAATGCCAACAATAGATTCAATTCTCAAAGATGTAAATGATGATCCTGATCTACCAGATTTCAAAAGGTCGACATTCCACAAGTTGTTGAAAGAATTAAGTTTTAAATTTAAAAAAAGAGGGAGAAATAGTTTGTTGCTCGAGAAACCAGAAATTGTATTGTGGAGACGAGATTATTTAACGAAAATACGGGCCTATAGAAGAGAAAATAGGAAAATTTACTACCTGGATGAAACGTGGGTGAACGCAGGCCACACTAAGTCTAAAATTTGGATTGATGAATCCGTAGGTTCTTCAAGGCAAGCCTTCTTAGATGGCCTCTCAACTGGGTTAAAGAACCCATCAGGTAAGACCTTATTAAACTCTTAACCTTAACGTGTATGTCTGTGAACAAGATAATTTGCATTTGGATTAGGTATTGATTTAAAATTTGGTATAGTCTATTTCATTGCTGTTGATAGCAAAAATCGAGGATTAGGGCCATAAAGTAATTGTATTCTACTTGGTTTACAATAACTTTATGGCCTAAACCTCGATTTGTAGGTACCAATACCTATTAGTAAGCGATGGTCAAAAAGGGTCTAAAATTACTTGTTAGCTATGAAAAATAGACCCACAGTATGTATCCACCTGTGTATTTTCCAAGAAAGTTTATTATTAATTATTTTCTGTATTCATTAAAATCGTAGAGAATTGGAAGGGTTTCATCTTACCGTTCGATCAATTAGTTAAAATTCAGGTAACAACGAAAATGTGTTGGTATAGTATGAAATTTTAAGTATGTCTTTGGTAACTGGTTTTCGATTATTTGTGTTTGGTTGGACACGATTAAATCAAAAATTTTTTTTGTCTGCCTCGCAGCACATTTTATTCAGGAAATAGTCCAAAAAATATGTTTTATGCATGTAAATATTCTGTTTCAACTAAAACAAAATAAATCTTGTTTCAGGAAAAGGAAAAAGGTTGATAGTGTGTCACATAGGAAGCGAAACCGGGTTTGTACCCGACGCCTTGTGGGCCTTTGAGTCGACTATCATGAGGAAATGGACGGCAAATCGTTTGAAAATTGGTTTACCAACATAATTCCAAACCTAGAAGAAAATTGTGTAATTGTTTTAGACAACGCCCCATACCATTCAAGAAAAGCTGAACAAATTCCAACTACAGCCACAAAAAAAGCCCTAATTCAAGACTGGTTGCGTTCGAAAAGTATACCATTCGAGGATAGCATGATAAAAGTACAACTTTTGCAGAAAGTGAAGGAACATAAAACCAAATATAATAAATACATTGACGAAATTGCTAAAGCACATAATAGAGTAGTATTACCTCTTCCCCCGTATCACTGCAAGCTCAACCCAATAGAGCTTATTTGGGCGGACATAAAAACTATGTTGCAAACAAAAATGTTACTTTTAAATTTTGCGATCTTAAAAATATTTTCAGTGAAGCTGTTTTGTCTATCACTGCTGAAGAATGGAATAATTGCGTAGGACATGTAAAAGATAAGGTAGAAGTGAAAATGTTAGAATTAGATCACATAGTTGATGAATTAGTTGATAGAAATCCGATAATAATTAATCCTAATAAATCTTCTAGCAGTTCTTCGGATTCTGAGTAACTGGACTAAAATGACAAAAGTATTTATTATTTTATCATTATTTTTTATTATTTTTGCGCTAGTATTAAATAAACATAATTTTGAAATCGAAAACTGTTAACCCGTTTGTCAATTGTCCTCCTAAAATAGAAATGTCCCCATTTTTTTGTACTTCATTAAATGTTATATGTATATACAAAATGGTTTTTGTTTTTCTTTATTAGTTAACCTTTGAGTAATTTTTCCATACCTAGTCGCATATTAGGTATTTAATAAAATTTGATAAAATTTCGATGGTCCCTAAGTGCGAGTGCGACTCTGTACAAGCACATCTGCCCAGGCCTCGCCTGAGGGATCACGTGCACTATGCATGACAATGTTTTGGTGCACTCCGTAGCTTCGTTGGATTTTATAGGATTGAATTTCTTTCATGTACCTTGAAGCCTGGCTCTTCAGATGACATGAATAAATTAATAAAACACTGGTAATAAATAAGTTGATACGTAATAAACAAATAATGGAGAACAATTTTAAACCGCACATCAAAGCTTCAAGTGGGAGCCAAATAACTTACCAATTTAGTAGTTGATGCAGTTACTACCGAGTTCAGATGATCGAGAAGCCAATTGAGTCTGGTAACCCTAGACACTGGAACATTTTTAGGTAGGAGCAAATAGACCACTTTAGCCTCCAGAAAATCTGGAGGAAGCTCCTCTCCACGCAAAAATTCGCGTGAAAATTGAAGACCATAATCTGAAAAAAAAGGAACGTATGAAATGAATAAATGTACAAATAATGGAATAAAAATCGAACAAGTAAAAACATTCAAGTATCTGGAAGTAGAAATAGAAGACAATGGCAGGCAAGAAATAGAAATTAACAATAGAATAGAAAAAACAACAAATCTTTACTACATGATGAATTCGGCGTTTATAAATAAAAAAGAAATTTCAAGGAAAACAAAGATAAATGTATTTAAAACAATATATCGACCAATTTTAACATTTGGATGTTAATCATGGGTGTTGACAAACAGACAGAAAAGTAAAATACAGGCAGTTGAAATGAAGTATCTCAGACGAGTTAGAGGTGTCACAAAGATAGATAAATTGAGAAATACACAAATAAGAAAAGACCTTGACATAGAATCAACACTCAAGTTCATTGAAAAGCGACAATTAAGCTGGTGGGGGCATCTAGAAAGGATGAACGACATTACACCAGTCAAAAGAGTATGGCAATAAAAGATAGAAAAAAGAAGGAAAAGAGGAAGACCAAGACAAACATGGGATGGAGTTATCGGAAGCATACTGCAAGAAAAAGGAAAGACATGGGCACAGGCAAGAAAAATGGAAAAAGATAAAAAACAATGGGCGAAATTTTAATTAGTTGCTATAGTTAGTACATGGCAATATAATGAAATTGTAAGTGAACTAACACCCCTACACCATATATTATGGTATTCGGGGATTTTGATAATATACTCCTGGACAAAATTATCGCACCACTACTGCACCTAAACACCATAAGCAGTGGTGCGATAATTATTTTGTCCAGGAGTATACATACGTTCAAACATGGAAAATGTAAAGTGTTCAGTTTTTGGCGCCAATCTATCTGATCGTGAAGTGGTGAGCTGCACGTTTGCAGGTATCAGTGTTGAAGTTAAGAATAAGCGACGTCTTGGCAGAATTTTTAACCTAGTAAGTTTCAACAATTTTTATGTCTACTGTCTTGACGTGAAATGGCGGGATCTAAGTCAGTCTCCGGAACCTTTTGGGTCATTTTATACTGTCGTGATTGACCTATTCAATAGAGCATTTCCTCTTAAGTTAATTAAATCATAGACTAAAAGGCAAAAACCATGGCTTACAAGGGGTATAAAGGTGTCAGCAGCCAACCTTCGCTCTCTCAATTATATAAAAAAAATTTTTGGAAACAATCACTTTTTTAGCTTATATTGCAGTAAATATCGTAAGATATATCGTAAACTTGTTGCAACTGCTAAAAAGGAATATTATACCAGGAGAATTTCAAGAGCCAAAAATAGTCAAAGAGAGGGCTGGTCTATAATCAATGACTTGTGCAACCGACAGAGGCATGGTTCTGATGAAATTGAATTGAATGCTATTTATTGTGCCATGGCTGGCAACTTGACACAAAATATACCAATGAGTACTGATCCCATTTCTTACCTTGATGACCTATCTTTTCCAGATTCGTTTTATTTTTTTCCAATGGATATCAATGAGGTTAAAGAGGCCCTTTGTGACATCAAGAAGAGGAAATCCTCGGGTGACGACGGAATTTCTGTTGAGGTACTTTTTAAGTTACCTGATTGTGCTCTGGATGGTTTTGCTAAGGCAATAAATGATTCATGGACAAGGGGCGTGTTTCCTTCATTTCTAAAATCAGCAATAGTGATTCCCTTGCATCAGGGTGGCGATCAACGAGAGCCGTCTAGCTATCGACCAATTAGTTTGACGTCTACTGTTTCAAAAGTTTTTGAAAAAATTGTAAAAAAAAGGGTTTGGCACTACCTCCAGGCGAATAATATAATTACTCTAAAGCAATTTGGATTTCAAAGCTCCAAAGGTACTCATGATGCCATGTTCAATTTTTTGGAAACTGTTTACCACCACATTAATAAAGGAGACGCTGCGGCAGCGGTTTTCTGTGATCTCTCCAAGGCCTTCGACTGCGTGGATCATGGAATTCTTCTGTCAAAGCTTGAGCGTTACGGCTTTAGGGGATCTTCACTCGCATGGTTTCGTTCTTATCTAAATTGTCGAAGCCAATCTGTGATCGCATCGGGGGTAAGATCGTCGGCGAGAGTTGTTGGGTGCGGTGTTCCGCAGGGGTTTGTCTTGGGACCATTGCTGTTTTTGATATATATATAAATGATCTTGTCGGGGTGCGGATATCGGGCTAATTCACCATTTTTGCCGACGATGTGTATGGCGCAATAAAGATGTGGAACAACTCAAGCAAGGCATCGCATCTGACCTTATCATAATCAAACAGTGGTGTGATTCTAACCGCCTCTGTTTTAATGTCAATAAAACCAATGTTCTTGGTTTTGGATGTGACATGACGGGTTTGAATCTGGGAGGAAATCGTCTCGAGGACCAGCCCTGCACAAAATGTTTGGGTATATTTGTCGATGGTGGGTTATGTTTTGAGGACCATATATTAGGCTTAGCAGGAAACTCTCATCGGGATGCTTTGCTATTAGAATTGCACACAGGGAGCTTGGTTCGGCTGCGGCTCGAATGGTCTACTTTGCACTGTTTGAGTCTAATCAAATCAAATCAAATATGCTTTATTGTCCAAAATAAAGGGTATTCATTGACAAAGCCTTATAACTACTTATAAGTATGTGTAAATATCACTAGTACTTCTAAAAAATATAAAAAACAAATACTTAAATCTAGTGTTTATCTTTTTTTTTTCCGTTTTTGATTACATTCCACGTCAATTTGAAAATTAAAACAATACAGATTAAAATTAAAATACAAAAATAACTTTAAAAAAAACATTACAAATTTAGATAAAACAAATTAGATAAAACAATCACAACTATCCAGATGTGGCTCCAACAATAGGTACATCACAGCAGGAAAACCAATACAAACAGCAAAACTTTGAGCACATGACGAAAATTGTACTTAAATTTAAAAGCTGCACAATTCAAGTTCGAGAGCTGTCTTGATAAAATTCCTCTAGGCTATAGTATGCCTTACCAGCAAGGAGGTCCACCACGGTCTTTCGAAATGGTTTATATGGCAAAGATCTACAGGTCACATTAAGATGGTTGTAAATCTTGATACTCTCGTACATTATAGAGCGCTTAGTTAAGGTAGACTTTGGGATTGGAAGACGAATATTAGAACTTTGCCTGGTATTATAAGCATTCTGTCTATTATCCCAAGTGACACCACCTGAGTACTTCCGGTGTAATAAACAAACCGTTTCTAAAATAAACAAACATATCACAGTTAAAACCTTGAATTTAACAAATAATGGTCTGCAGTGATCCCTGGGATTCGCTCTGCACATATATCTAAGTGCTCTCTTTTGAATAACAAATATAGAGTTCAGAAGTTGCAGACTACAAAAGCCCCAAAACACAATGCCGTATCTTAGACGAGACTCGAGCAAAGAATGGTATACCATCTTCGCCGCTGAAGAACCAAGCTACACAGATACCACCCTGATCGCGAAGCAACTTGATGCCAATCTCTTGCCAACCTCACTAATATGTTTCTCAAACTTCAGCTTCATATCAATATAAAGACCAAGAAACTTGGTATCCGTTCTGCTTTCTATAGGTTGATCATCCATGGTAAGATCGTTAAGAGCAAAACCAAACGTCAAAATATTAGTTTTGCTTATATTGAAACACAAAAAATTTGAGTCACACCAAGTCTTCATTTTTTTTAAGTCACTATCAACAGCATTTCTCAAATGTTCCTGATCTTTCGAGTGCCATAAAAGGGTGGTATCTTTTTTTTTTTTACGGATATGCGCACTCGCAAGGAAATGTCCTATCATGCTCGAGAAGCGGTAAGTGCGCGGAAAGGGTAAATTTGCCCTCAATATCCAAACTTGTAACATCATTTATGTAGAGCAAAAACAATAAAGTCTCATCTGAGGTATGGGATTCCCTTTTAGGGTGCAAGTAGTCAATATCTTCTAAACATATTGTTTATTCTGCAGAAGAAAGCAGTACGCTTTATAACAAACATTGGCCGAAGGGACACTTGTAAACTCCATTTCCGGTCGCAGAATATCCTGACATTATGCTCTTTGTTTATCCTTGAGACGGCCTCACTGATTTATAAGAACAGACTGAGCATCCAGTTTCAGGGTGTAGCTATGCCTTATAATACTCGGCATTCAGCTGATCTGCCTCTGCCGATTCCAACAAAAGAACTGACTAAAAGGTCATTTATTTATAATGGCAGAAAAATTTTCAACCATCTGCCAATTCACGTTAAGACTGCCATTAGTGTAAAGTGCTTTAGACAGTTACTTAAGGGCATTCTACTGACTAAGGCATATTTTACCCTGGACGAGTTTTTCACAGACAACTTTATGTGAGATATGAGGCTTTTTTATCACTCTATGTTACTTGCTTATTTTTTTATTTTTATTTTTTTGTATTTTGTATTTTTATAGTACTTGTACTTTTACCTTTTTAGTTTTAATGATTTCACATTTTATCCTTTTGGTTTTGATGTTTTTTAGCTTAAGCAACAGATTTTTTGTTTTATAATTTTCTTGTAATTTAGAAAATTTATAATATCATGCTTTGTCAACAGAAATTTGATTTTCTTGGACAATAAAGTATTTTTTTGATTTGATTTGAAATAGAGAGCGAAAACAATTTCCCCTGTTCCACCTCCATCAAAAAGCACTGGGAATGCTGGAGGTGGAACAGGGGAAATCGTTTTCGTTCTCTATTTAACCTTAGACTTTCTCTAGATATTTCATTCTATCGCATTGAAATCGGCATGCAAGATGTTCACTTGCCAGGCGTGTATACAGTGTCATTACTTAAGTGTGCAACATATGGGATTTTTTCTAGTAATAGCACAATCAAAATACAAACAAGGCCAAAAGTTGGTGCATGTCTAACAATCATATTAGGTGCACTTAGAATGGTTGCAAGTCAAACAGCATACAGGGTAGCACACTGTATATGAAATAAAATGGTACTTTTTATGCTTATGCGGTTTGAAAGCACAATAAGAGCTATTTCATGGTGATATTTAATTTGTATTCACCCTAACATGTATGTTCAGGGTATTTGATTATATTATTTGGACCCATACCTGCAGCCGTTACTATTTAAGATAGAAAAAAAAATAATTTTGACACCAATTCTCCTTGAAATTAATAAAAAGGAAATGGTAACAAAAAAGGTTTTGTTTGTTTTCGATCATAATATTTTCAGTTAAGAAGACCCCATTTTCATAGTTTGTAAATATTTTGATAGAATTCACTTCTTGACCTTTCAAAGATATTGATGAATAATTTTGCGAGTTGTTGCATTAGCAAAAATCCAGCTAATAATACTGCATGATGTAATATAATTTCTTTGATAATCATAATAATTACTGACCCTCCATTTTTGCCTGCCTGCACATTTGACCTATATGTCCAGAATAGAATTATATAATTAGTTTTTCTACAGTTTTAGCTATAATAGTTATTTTATGTAGGTATTCAGTATACAATGTGTCCAAGACAAGGTCCAAGATATGGAGGGCCAGTATGGGGATCTGATGATATGGTGGCTCAGAGACGAAATTTCGGATTACAAATTTGACAATGCCATATTGTAGGGGAGGAAAAGTGGCAACGACGAAGTGCCCTTCATTTTGAAATATCTCTTCAAATAAGGTCAGGAACGCTATTTTAATGAGAACAAAATTGCGCAAGTTTTTCCTAATTTGAGCAACGTCGTATCTCTTACTGTTTCCAAGATCCCCATACTGGCCCTCCTTATCTTGGACACATTGTCATTTTATAATTTCAATATTAATAAAATAAAACTCCTCACTTATAAGTATAGCTTTTTTGCCTTGGGGTTCAGAGTTCAGTTAAAGTGAAGAGGAGAAGTTCTTCCATATAGAACCTTTCAGAATTTCTACAGAAAATAATACCTACTAGGTGTTAATAGAAAAAAATTGTCAAATAAAAATCTTTCGTTTCATTGGTTTCAGCTAAACTTCAATAAGAAAAACACACAAAAATTGCTTTAGATAGAGCATATTTCCTATAGAGTTTTCGTTTTCCTAAACAAAGTTTCAGCTGACAGAAAGCTTGTCCGATACCTACCTAGTACCTATGCATTTATAAAAAAAAATTATGGTACCATTGAATGAATGATATTTACGATTTATGAAAAAATATATACTAATTGTTTTGATAAATTTTTTACTTGCCTGAAGATAGTTCAACACCTTCATCGGAACACTGACTTTGGCGATCAAATTCCATTATAATCCATATTATAACAGAAAAAAGTCAAGGCACATTTAACAGACAAAACAGGAGATGGTAAGTATACAGCCTTTTTCCTTCAAAGCATTCCCACTTATTGCTTTTTCAAATAGTAAACACAAATGATAAAATAACAAACAAGGAAGAGAATCAACAAACAATTTATCATTTGGGTATCACAGTTCTGACAGCTGCTTGAAAAGCGTTTTAATGAAATTATTGTTGTCACAACTCACAAAAAAAACAGTAACTTTCAATTTAATCTAAGGAAAAAGGAAATTAACATATAAACTGTACTTCAAATATTCAACACATTACATTGGAAAATTGAAAAAATTATTAGATTGTAGCCTTCAATGTGGTTGAATGGAAAAATAGGCTATGTTCCGATATCAACTGAACTGGCCAGTACGCTGCTTTCCAGTATGCACATTGGCACGCTTTAGAGCACCCAGGGAGCGCCACGCACTAGATTTGTACCGACGTGCGACTTTTGTCCGTGTACGTATAGTTCGGGAGCTCAACGCTCCGAGTAGCTCCGAACGTTACACTCTCATAACTGGAAAGCGGCTCTTTAATTAAGCTTCGTACTCATAACTGCGAAATTCGCATTTTTCTGACATTGCGTTGACAATTTGACGTTTTATGCGTGTATCAAACGTCAAATTGTCGAAGCAATGTCAAAAAAATGCGAATTTCGCAGTTATGAGTACTAGGCTTAACTGTGCTGATTTTACTGTCGTAGTCGTAACCAATGAACTATAGCTAAAAACTGGAATGCGCACACATTGCCATATCTGCCAAAAAAATGAAGCCATGAAAGACAGATGCCACAAGGGGGAATGTTGTTTTTTTTCTGTTGCTCGCTGACATATGACGTTTTCGAAAGTTTTGTCATATTTCCCTTCACAGGTTTCATCAATTGGAATACGTGTTGGAAGCAATTTTCGCCATTTAACATAATGAGTGCGACAAAAACAGGTATCCCCTCCGCAGCAGCCGCACTAGGCTTCACGTTCGTCCTTATGTGTTAGCATGCCAATTTTTGGTTATAGTTCATTGGTCGTAACGCCCCGGAGCTGTTCCGGACTCCTCCTAGGTGTGAAAGAAATACAACTAAGTGCAAATGTGGTAGCTCAACCGTTCCCTCGGTTTCAATTCGGCATGTCATCTCTGTACCGCGCACCCAAGAACACTCCACCCAAATAGGATTGCTTAACCGATACGTCACCCACATACCTGATGGATTACTTGGGAGTTTAGTTCATTGTTTATTGGCCTAATATGATATAGGCCAGGGCAGTTAGCAAAAATAGGAGAAGTTTTTGCAATCAAGCTGATTTTTTCACAGATGGTAGTTCCCATCACTAGTACCACAGCCTCCTACATTTAACAAGCCATGAAGTTAAAAAGGCAACACCGCAATCTTACCGCCAAGTGGTGCTGGTGGTGTTTGTTTTTATAAATATATATTTTTTTTTTTAATAATATGAATCACGAAAAATGCATAATTTATTGTACTAAAGGGCCAAAAACAGTAATTCAATGAATAATATAACTATTTGTGCAAATAAGAACAGTAAATAATTGATTTAAATCAATATATTTCTAGAGTCTAAAGTGTTATAGGCCTATGTTTCAGTATGTCTTTTGAAAAATCTAACTTTTTCTTTCTTCGGGATTTTTTCGGAAGGCAGGTCCATTCAAATACTTGAGCTGATTTTCGAAAATAAGAGGCAACTTTTAAGAGTTGGACGTTTCAGTTTGAACTCTCGAACTACGCCTTTATCCTTGTTTGTTTCAAATCTAATTATTTCGGTTTCTTCAAAATGTTTACAACACACCACAGAATTTTTCGTTATTGTATAATCTCGGGTATAATTATCTTGGTGTATTAATTGCTTTCATCCACATTTTCTGCAATTCAGAATTTTTTTGGAAATGAAAATGTTTGCATTTCTTCAGTTTTTAAGGAACTCCTAATAGTTTGATTTGCACCCAGGAACACAGTAGTTTCATGGCATCTGAAACAAGTTTAAATATCTTAGATAATATATCGAGACATATGCTCTTGCAGACAAATATTAATATTGTTTTTATTGTTTTATCTCACCTTACCTTCATTTTTGCTCCTGTACCCATTTGCTAAAAAATTGCAATCAAAGCACAAAGGAACAGGTATCAACTAAATATGGGCAATATATTGGTGTGTTTCTATCCACTTTTTCGTCAATAATGCCCACAAAAATACTAAACTGCAACAATACACAATGAAAGCAATACACAGAAACACATAACCCAATAACAAAATAGCACCATACGCGACGTTGCCGTCATTTCCAACTTCATGGCTTGTTAAGTATAGGAGGCAGTGCTAGTACTCTGTAAAAAAAAGTTACACCTCCTAGAAGGCTTGCTTTTTCCGCCATAATGAATTAAAGATGGCGGCTGGTGCTATTTTTGAGAAAAATCGTAATTGGTTTTGTTTAATTTTTTCTGAACCGAGTGAAAAAATTAAAAAATATGCGCTTTTTTTTCTGATTTTGAAACATTTTTTGAGTTTGTGATAGGTTGGGTAGTTCGGGAGATATAGTCGAAAAGAACTTATGAACCCATGCAAAAAAAAAGAACACCTATCCTATGCAAAATAAAGTTTTCATTATTTTTTGTATACGCTCCCAAAAATAGCTATTTTGCGGACTCATTTCAGTCCGTAAAATGCTTCATTTTCGGCCTAGTCCCTGAATTTTTTCACTTCCGGCCTAGACCGTAAAATAGTCCATTTTCGGCCTAGTCCCTAAAAGTCGTCATAGCAACCTTCATAACTTGGAAAAAAAGGGTTGTCGTCGTAGATTAATTCATATGACACAATCAATTTTTTTTGACAAATTAAAATGAATAACTCTGGTTTAAGAACCCAAGAACGTTTTTGACTTCATTGATTTTTTTCATTCAATTTCTATTTGTTAAAAAAGGAAGGCAAATTATGTCAAAAGTATAAACCCTCGTGAAACGAAGTGTAGTTATATTGTTACAAAAATAGCTATCTTTGCTCGATTGACATGAAAACAGTTGCCTTTGGTTTTAGCTAAATTTTTTTTTTTTTTCTCTACTACAAGTTTTTTTTACACTGTTCAAAAGACGTAAAATTAGATTTCACGCACTATTGCGTAAAGTAATTCACTTCACACACTAGTGAGCGAAGTAAACGAAAAAGGTATTAGTTTCTTCGCAAAAATGCATAAATACCCAAGGGTATAAAATGTTATATTATAAAGGCCTTTCCTGCCCTTCTTCTGCATTAAAAATGTGAGTTTACTTCACATCCTAGGTTGTGAACTAAGTTACTTTAGACATAGGGCGTAAAGTTGTGGTATATTTTTCCAAATTTATGACATTCGGGTTATGATCTATAACGCGCGCTTATAATATTGTCGAAAGTAACTTAGTTCACTACCTAGGGTGTAAAGTAAAATCACATTTCAAATGCAGAAAAGGGGCAGCAAAAGCTTCTATAATATAACATTTTATACTTTTGGGTATTTATGTATTTTTGCGAAGAAACTAATACGATTTAATAAACTTTTTTTTTTTTTACTTCGCGCACTAGTGTGTGATATTTATTTAGTATCAAACATGTACCTTTAGTACCTGTACTGACCTCATTATTTACCCATAATTATTTTTAAACCCCTCTTAGGACGTCTATGGTTTAAAAGTCGCCATTTCTGGAATCGAATAATTTGAAACGTATTATACTGTCAACTACTTAAGTAAATACCACTCTGTACATCAATTTTATTAAAGTGTGTCAACGAGTCAGCATTTATTTGGTATGAATATAGCGCCGAAATCCATTACCGGCAGACTAAAGCTAGTGCGAACTACCTCTAATGGGAAAAGCCCTTCTAGCTAAGTCTCCTCCCAGTGCAAACTACCTTCAATGGGAAACGCCTCTCTGGGAGTATTGAACGCCGCAGACTAGGTCCAGTGCAAACTACCTTTAATGGGAAACACCCTTCTGGACCTGTCTCAAACCTAGTTTCAGTCTCAGTCACGCCAAGTGTACAGAGGGTACATAATTAATAGAGTGGCCCATAAGTAGTACGAGTACGTCCCTCTGTAGAAGAGGCGTCATGATACCATTTCTAGTGTAATACTATTATTAATCAATACATCTTATAATACCAATACCAAGCGAGTTCCTCCCTACCTGAACCCCACCTACGCCCCCAAGTCACGCTCCTGTTGTGACATCCCAGGACGAAACGTATAGGGGTTGTGACAATACTATGCATATGTCCTTCTAAAATTCACGAAGTAACCGAAAAAACTAGACTGTATAAGGTTCCAGCAATTTTACATATGACACAACTTCAAACGACTGTAACTCAAAAAAGCGAATTTTTAGAACATTGTACCCATAGACACTTTTAATCTATAGGTCAAGAACTATCAATATGCAAACTTTCATGAGATTTCACTGAGGGCCAGTTATCATAAGGTTTCTGCAGGGTCCTTCAAGAAATGTATCGAATTACCAATAACCCTATATACCTACATCATAAATTTGATTTTAATTTCAAGATCGTATTTTCTTGATCCCTTATGTCAATCAATAGAAATTTGAATCAAATACAAAATTACCCTTAGGAGTTTCAAACAAACTTGACAATCTTGGGTTCGGAATTGTACTATGGCAATGAAACAAAAAGCTTTAAACAAAAAGGTTTATTTAAAATAAAAAATACTCCCATGACAATACACTTATGGTTAAATAAGGCAGGTATAAAAATACTTTTAATTTTTATGAATGATATTAACAAAATACTATTTGTTTTTAATTTTAAGTACATTGATATGATTGAAACAGATATTTTTGAGCTATTTTTGTTTTCTAAAACCGATTACATATTATTAAAATGCCACTACATTCACTTGTACAGTCGACCCATTCCAAATTAAAAAATTACTGGCTCTCAAAAGCAAACCTTTAAATATGATTTTTTCTTAATTAATGACATTACTTTATTGACTGTCCATTTCATATCATCTAAACTCTAAATTAAAATTACTTTAGAATCTCTCTATATTCCATTTTGTAGCTGGTACTAAATAAAGTGTGATGATATTGGTGATAGTGGGTATCACCAATGCAAGAAACAGGGTAAAAAAAAAACAATCCTCACAATATTTCTACTTTGGCAAGAGCTATAATCTGGAGCACCAAAAGTTCGATGGATAATCTAATGCCTTTGTGCCTATTGTTAAAAATCAACAGCATATTTTTATCAGTTTTGGGTTCCTAAAAAAACTAAAAACAGCTAGCAAGGCACAAAATCAGATTGTCAATTTCTGGTCCAATCTAATCACTGCATAAAATTCAACTGTCCTACTTTAATGTGTGTAATTATTATTCCTTGCCTTATGTTCTTCATTTTTGCTAGTTTAGGATTAACAAACTATAGGATTAAAATTTACATGAAACTGATGGTATTTTATAGTGCTTCACAAATACATACTTGCTAAATTAATCGTTATTGATAAATGCTGCCTGTACTTTTTCTAAGAACTCAAAGGAAATTTTTGACATAAGTTGACATGACCTGACAACATTATTATACAATGCTTTAACTTAACGTAACACTTGATAATAATAATGTTTGAACGCAGGTTTTGTTATCTCTAAAGTTAATCTTGAGATTTTACACTTACAATATATATAACTTCTTTGGTTTCAATTAGCGTTTCTATGAACGACATTAGATTATGTTTAAAATGAGTGCCCCACAAAAAAAAATCATCTGAAGGATGATGTTTTAAAATGTCTATTTGCTCCACATGAAATATTACACTTAAACATCTAGTTTAACAAGAAAATGACACTTCAGTAATCAAGTATAGCCACATAACAAACAACAATGCCTCTAAAACTACACAACCACTTTTGGGCATTATTGAAAAAAAAGTTACCAGTGTTTTCAAAATTTCATAGTTTTACACTAATAAAAAAAAAAAAAAATATGGCATGTTGTGAAATACCTTCTTGAAATAGCCATGTTACAAAAAAATCATTAGTCACGTACAGGTAATAAACACAACACATTAAATTATGATTGATATAGGTGCCTTTGTCAGAAAGCTGATTGCTGCAACCTTTTTAGACTCCGCTAGTTGTTGTAGGAGCAGTCCCTTGGAACCAATCGGTTTCCTTGTAAAGAAACCACAAGTCGGCAGCCCATAGGAAGAAGTTGAGGAATCCAAAGATCTAGTAATTGAATATTAATCACCAATTGAAATAACCTTTAAAGTTCAAAACTCACCACAGAAATATTAAGTGTGGAGAAACTACTAGTGGTGATCCCACCAGGGCAGCAGGTTCCGTCTGGCATTATGACTGGGTTTTCTGTTACAGTTTTCAATCCTGTTAAACCATGAGCCCAAGCAGCACTACTGGAAATCCACAAAACAGCCAAAAATACTGTTGCTAGAAAATCCTGAAATATAATAAGTGTTGATAATAATAATTATAAGCCCAAATGAAAACACCTTATTAATAATTATAAGCATTTTAACTTATTTAATAAGAACATTGCAGCCCTTGTGTAACATACAATCGATGGCCATTATTTACAGCATTGATTTATCGTAGATGTAAAATAGAAACTATTAAAATAATTGAATGCTTACAGATAGAGGAATTATTTTGTTTGCTTTATAAGCCTCGTCCAATTTAACATAAACAAACATGATTGCCAAAGAGTAAAGCATCGCTAGAACTCCTGTGGAAACGAAGAATCTGGAATCCGAAGAAAAGTCATTTCTGATTATTGCAGTGCAACTGCCGTTGTCGTTGAGCTTCACTGTGTCTACCAAAGTGAACGGATACGAAAATTCCAGTTTCGCAGTTTGATTGCACGAGAACGATATAGAGCCTGAGTAGCCGGTGATAGTGGCAAAGGCACAAATTGAAAATATCTGAAAAGAAAAAAGATAATATATAGGTTTGTTTGCTTTATTTCAAACTGGAATTTGGAAAAATAAGGTAATTTTTTTTCTAAATAACAAAAATGCCAGACAATTCTAGAAACCACATAAAAACACTCAGCACAACAAGAGCTGCATGACATCCGTAAAATTCTTTATTATAGTACTGGGTGAGCCAATGAAAACCGATTTCCAGGATTCAGTTGTATCGCCACGCTGAAACAAATCGTTCCAAAACCGAAGTGTGTGGTAGAAAAACACGACGGTTTTCTACCACACACTTCGGTTTTGGAACGACGTGTTTCATCGTGGCGATGAAAACCGTCGTGTTTCATCGTAGTGTGTGGGGCCCTTAGGTCATAATATTTTGTTTTGTTTATATTAAAACAAAATAGGTTGGTAATTCACCAAACTTTTTTGCTATCAATAAATATAATGTCACAAGCTTTTTTTTATCAGGCTTAAGTAATAAAAAAACACAAGAATAAAAAATCTTGCATAGATTTGATCATGAGATTGTAATTATTCTTATATCAATAAAGCTATTTTTGATTTTGTTTTTTTTTATATTTAGGAAAGCCAAATTGTTTGGATGTAGTAAATAGAAAGGAAAGCTTTGTAGTACGCCTATTGTTGGAATAGGCCCCATAAACTCTTACAATTTATTTTCCTTCAGAGATAAGATGAGGAATTACAAAACACTGCCGCAACCCTTTCCCTATCATTCAGGCCAATGAACAGTCTCTCAGGGAATAAAAAGATTGCGTCAATACAATCTTTACCCTCCTGAAGCCCCAACTGATCCGGTGCAAGAATTCCATTGATCTTTAAAGTGACAAGTCATCAACTCTAGAGGAATTTTGTTTTTTGATGTCTCTAATGTTTGTCACCTCATCTTTATTATTGTTGGTGTCAGTCTAAAAGCTTCACTGGAGGATAGTGAGAAAATTAAGAGGATCTTTAGTTGGTGTTAAACCAATTGTTAGCCTATTAGTTATAGTACAGTAAAGGTTATTTAAATCTGTTAATATTCAAATTGATATTTTTTATGTGGCTTGCCAGACGCGTAGCAAACCACATAAAAACATATAATTGGAATGATAGGGCATTTAAGATATATCCCAAAAAGTCAAATCATTCACAGGACTACATTTCAAAGCCAATTTTGGCTACTATGCCATCTTCATATGTTTTTCAATACTATTGAGATAAAAATATTTCTTTAAAAAAAATAAGTGTCCCTTGATAAATTGCATCAGAAAAACAAAAAATTCATTTGAACAGAATATAAGGCAATAACCAATTATTTCATGTCTAGTGACTTTTATTTCCTTAACGACTATTGGAGCAGTTATAAGATTTTACTATTTATGTGTTTTATTTATAGATTTTTAGGAAATAAATGAAATTGAATTGAATTGATTAGGATGTTCATCAAATGGTCTTATCAATTTGTAATTTGTGAATACTTACCTATATGTATAACCACTGACTGGTATCCTCCAGGGTTGGCAAAGTCCTTTGTTTTTGAAAATTTCGAGGAAAATTTCTATTGGGTTTTTGCGGGTTATTGTGATAGTTTTTGTAGGGTTTTTGTGTTTACTTAGCCAGACAAAATTGTATATTTGTTTCAACAGTTTTGCACCTGAGAAGCTTCAATGTTAAATTTTATTGAACATTGAAAATTTTCCAAAAATGACACTGAGACAGTTTTTGCCTCACAACTCTGTTAAATTTCATCTGATTTCACTGTAATTAAACTTTAGATAAAGCCAATTAAATTATTCATAAACCTATCAATTATAGGATTTTAATTTGGTTCCAATAGTTTTGCACCTGAGAAGCTTCAAAATTGAAATTTTCAAACATTGAAAATTTGTCAAAAATCACATAAGACAGTTTTTGCCTCATAGCTCCATTAATTTCTATTCAATTTCTATGTAATTAAGCTCTAATCAAAGCTAATTAAATTGTCAACAAGTTTATTGATTAAGATTTTAATTTGGTTCCAGCAGTTTTGCACCTGAGAAGCTTCAAAATTGAATTTATCGAACATAGAATATGCACATGTGTCACATGTGCCAATAAGAAAATATGCAATAAAATCCAAAAATAAATCTAATAAAACACAGAAATAGAAAAATCGTATAACTGCTCCAATAGTCGTTAAGGAAATAAAAGTCACTAGACATGAAATAATTGCTTTATATTCTGTTAAAATAATTTTTTTTGTCTATATGAACATTTATTTCTTCAAAGAAATATTTTTACCTAAATAGTACGAGTATTAATGAACACATGAAGCCAAAAAAATGGAAATAATTTCAGAGTTTCGCTTTGCAGAGCTTTGATGGTAAGATTGCATTGGTCTTTATTCAATAAAGCTCAAAGCTCAAATCACATCTTCCCTATCTTAAAAAGAGGGGTGAAAGTCATCCCACCCAGGGGGTGCACCCTAGCGAAATACCGATGGGGTCTAAAACTTTCTCCCTTGAATACAAAATTGACGTATCCTAGCATTTTTTTTTTTTAAATCGACGGCAAAATACCCCAAAACGCCTCTGTTTCGATGTTCGTGAAACACCTTGTATCTACCACTGAAATAATGCTTTATCTGCTTATTTGAGTTGCCTCAAATGTCCTATCATTCCAATTCTGGGTGAGACGCGTGGCAAACCGCATGAAAAATAAATATTGTAGATTTGCCAACACCACAGAATTTGAAAAAAAAAAACCTCTTCATCACTACTCACTACATAGTATATAACAAAGTCGCTTTCTCTGTCCCTATATCCCTATGTATGCTTAAATCTTTAAAACTACGCAACGGATTTTGATGCGGTTTTTTTTTAATAGATAGAGTGATTGAAGAGGAAGGTTTATATGTATAATAACATCCATTAAATAGTGGAGAAATACTGTTATTTTTGAGGTTTCCAATGTGATGTCGTTAATAATTACAGGAAGCGATTTTAACCAATACAGGGAAAGGAGAATTGTTTTACTCCAAATTTAACGCGTGCGGGCCACGGGCAGTAATGAATAAATCAAAACTACTGGATCGATTTTAATCATTTTTTCAGTGAGTGACATATAGGCTATATATTTTATACCCGTGCGAAGCCGGAGCGGGCCGCTAGTATAGGTGTAACAGCGAAAATTTTGCAATTGGGCGTACTCTATATGTGTTCTCAAATAGCTAACTGACAGGGTAAGATAATAGGCCTGTTTCTGCAGAAATCGCAAACCAGACAGAGAAAATTTCATTGGTTGAAACTAGTTTTCTGACTGTTTTCAACCAATGAAATGTGCTCTGACTGGTTTGTGATTTCTAAAACAGACCTAATATATCTTCTGGTTTGAAAAATATTTGCACGTGAATTTACTTTTGCAAAGCAACTATCCAACAGTACAGCTAAGATTTTTTAAGTGTTAAGTAAAATACTTGAATCTTACAAAAATATTTGTTGGTTACATATTTTAATTGAAATAAACAATCCTTATTACTTCATAAATTCTTCAATCAATCGCTCAACGCGTTTCGGTTAACAAAGCATTATCAAGAGCTTGAGCAATCTGTAACGATTATTACTGCCTTGTGACGTCACGACCCACAGAAACACGTTTTTGATCGCGTCATGAATTTCGAATTATTTGGTATTTTCAATTAAAGATTTTGGACACCAGATATAAGATATTACATAATTGTATCATTTATTAGGATGATTGTTATTGTGTTTTATTATTTATTCCAAATTTAATTTAATGTGCAAGTTCCCTATTGCGCTCGGAACATTGACCTATAATAATATCACTATAGGTAATAATTGCCTGTGAGTTTAAACAGAAACTCAATTTGTCCTGAATTTAATAGTTCACTAATAAAATGCGTATGTTCGCTACTCGGCTCGCTATCGCTCAGATATTCATGAATGACATTCTTAAAATTGTGATTAACTTACTTTAAGCGTTCAAAGATTTCCCTAAAGATAAAAGTCAACTTTTGAATTGGATCGAATTAAATTTTTTATACTGACTGAAAATAGGAATTTAAGAAAATTTATGTATTTTCTGATTAAATTTACTGTAGGTTTAGTAGAAATAAAGTGCTGCCTTGCATTATTTTGGCACAGTATTTTATTGTCAATTTTTCAATATAGCACATCGTACATCTGTAAGTCTTTTCAGCTGCAATACGTTTGAGAATAATCTATTTATTGATAATTCTGCAAACACCCTGGGTAATCACAAGCAAAATTCCTACAAACTACAAACGCATAGCCTAATAAGGGTGAACTCTTGAGTCTAAATATGGAAAGTCGCGGTCTGAGCAGTTTAGGCGCCGCGGCCGTTTTTATTGTTTATTCCAATACTACTCCGGCGACAAATATTCAATTTGCTATAAGCAATTAAATTTTCAATTTCCTTTTCAAATTAAAGTTTGAATATATGGAACAATAAATGTTGAGTCAGATGGATAACGGATATAATGGGATTTTATAGGCAATGAAATTGTCTATAATTAGATATCTACCTAATAAAAATTTTATTTGATAAGTTAGTACGATTGTCACGGATTTGGAACATAAAAAAAATATATTTCCTTTATGGAGAATGATAGGGACTTTATTCAGAGTTTTTCTTTGGAAAAAAATAAGTTCTCAGTGTAGAGCGAGGGGTGTTTCACCTACCAAAAAGAGTACACTTAATAACCCTTTCTAAAAATAAATTTCCCCAGATCCACATAATGTCCTTTTTTTTCAAATTTCCCATTAACTACCTTTTATTCCTTCAATTGCACCATAATTTCCTCAATAATTTCACTTTATTGCCCAATTTGTACTTGTATTTCCCTTATTTTCTGTCAATTTCACCAGAATTGCCTATACATCATAATTACACTTAATTTCCTCATAATTTCCCATTAAGTGTACACTAAATTACACCAGTGAAACACCCTTCAGTGTAGATGCTGTTTTTGAAGGTGTGAA